AATAGGAAAAACAATCAAAGGCCGAGTCGATTCATTTCCTTAACCACGATATGGAGGATTGTCAACTCTCCACACGGCCCGGAGTCATGCAATTCAAAGGCCCATTTTGAAATATACCTTAGAACCCCAACTCACCAATCAAGCATGAAAACATACTTCCACTATAGAAAAAGTTTATAAAAGAGCGAATTTTTTTTCATTCTAACTCTCATGCATAATCTATTCACAAACTGCCAATACCTTATGCATTTTAATAAACCTTTTCTCCTAATGATGAGCACATTTCACAGATTTCCATGAACTTCTCAAACCAATGACGTTTTTTCTATTCACATAGAAGAACACAACGTATTTTCAATAAATCAAGAATTGTTTATTGCACTTAAACAATCTCAATTCAAAGAAAATGGAAAACAAACATATAACATAACAAAATCACTTTATAACGAATTCTAAGGAAAATTAATCAACTTATGGGGCTAAGAAGTCCAAAATCCTTAAAATCAACGAACACAAGCACAACAAAGAAACACGTATGAATTCAGAGTTCATTTAACTATCTTATGGAGCTAAAATAGCTTCAACAAAAACCGAATTCTACATAACAACCTACTTATGAATTTGAAACAATTCAACCAATTTAACAACTTGTGCAATAATTGAAGTAAATAAGAAAGAATCAATTCTCATTCATAAGGGATTATATAAATATTAAAAAAACCCCAAAAAGAAGAACACCAACCATTTTTGGAATTTTCGAAATTAACACAAACAAATAAACAAGAATGTAAAAATTAAACTAAAAACAACACTTTACAAAGAATTGGAGAACAAAATTGAAGAAACAAGCTAGGGTTACCAATTGATGAAGAAGAAGATGAAATTGAAGAAATTGGAGCTTGAAGAAGACTGCCCACCACTCGCCGGAGCTTTTTCCGCTGCCGGGGTTCACGTCTGCCGGCCGCCACCACCGCCACTGCCGCGGCTCAATTTCATTTGCCGCGGCCTAGAGCCGCGGCTCTCTCCGTGATATTTCCCCCTTTTCATGTGTGTCGATTCTCTTCAATTTATAGCAAGGAGGAGCTGAATTCTTCTCGTTGATAATTGATTGCTGCGCAATTGATGGAGCCGAACGTTGGAGGAGTTATGCGTTTGATTTGGGCGCTGCGCTCCGTTGACGATGGCGAAGAAGGAGTCGTAGACTTTTTTCTTTTACTTGTGCGAATTAAAAAGCAAAGGAGGAAAGGGCCGGTTATTGTTGTTGATGATGGATTGGGCTTCAACCCAATTTTGATCTCTTCTTTTTAAACTTGAACTGCACTTTAGCCTTTTGCTGCACTTTCTCCACAAATAAGATATCTGATAATTTGGGTTAGGAAAAATAAAATAAAGATAAAAGAATGTAAAAAATGATTAAAAAGCTACTATTTTTGAGAGAAAATAAAAAGAGTGTAAAAATAAGAATTAAAATAAAACTAAGCTAAACAACTAAAAATTAAACTCTAAAAATATTAAAAATGGCTAAAATTGAATAAAAAGTACTAACCCAAACCCGAGTTATCAAATACCCCCACACTTAAGACTTGAACGTCCTCGTTCAAAAGACCAAAAAGAAAACAAAACTTTTTATCATCATCAAGAAGAAACAAAGTGAACTTTAAACCCCCACACTTAAGACTTTATGCTCATTCACATTTTGAAAACAAAGTGAGCTAGAAATCCTACAAGGATGGAAAACTAAGGTGTGGATTTTTGGGTTCTAACAATTGCTCTAGAGCTGCTACAAAAAAGTTTCCTAGCGGAATCCTACGGTTTAGAACGGCTCAATAGCAGCGGTAGCAAGGTTCATCAATAAGCCTAAAAATATAAAAATCACTCAATTTTCTAAAAGTAAAAGGCTCCTAAAACTGGATTCTCTCTGTTTTCAGATTTTAATATCAAGCAATGGTTGATTAGGCAGCATCTAGATAATATGTGGATGGCCAGTTCTAGAAAACAAAATTCTATGGTATTCCTAGAAGGATTTCAAACATTTTAAGGTCATTTTTTACCAAGAAAAGAGCATAAGACTCAATGCGGGTTTATAAAGTGTACACTTGCTATCTTTCAGAGTAAAGCCCCAAGGAAAACAATGAGGTTTTTGGGTCAATTTTTGAAAACAATGCTCTAAATAAGGAGATATTCAACAAAGAATGACAAAATATTTGGACCCAAAACCTATTTTTAAAAAAAATTTGCCCCAAAAGTGTTTAAGCAACGATACAAGCATGAGCAACTCCCCCCACACTTAAAATTTGCATAGTCCTCGATGCATCTATATGGTATGCAAATATTAAGCAAGCACGGACTTAGCAAAGAGAGAAGGGGAAAGGGAAATGCAACTAAAAAACAAAGTATACACAGCATCAACTAATCACTTTTCCCTCCTCAAAGTGCTCGATGGACCTAAAATCTGCAAAACATGACTAAGACCAAGTCTTTTAGCTTTGAAGAGATAAACATCATAATTCAGCACATATGCATCTGATGAACTCAAAATCAGATTGAACACCAAGAAAAGATTGCAGATTTTTTTCCTATTTCAGCACCTATAAGCTGTAAAAAGTGTAAAATTTGCATTTCGCACTCAAAAAATCAGCTTACAAGTCCAAAAATAGCTTTTCAAAATGCGAAACTTTTCATTAGTATCCAAAAATCAGTTGTAAACAATGCATATGTCTCAACTTTCAGCTTAAATATGTCCATACAATAACACCCAAACCTTAAGGAAAATGAAATTTTACAACAGAGAAACCATTGGGTACTTGAGACCGTTGATCTGAGATACTGATTTGGATCAGATTTCACACTTGTTTGTGCAGATTTTACTCCAAACACCTATGCTTCCACCTAAAACTCAACAAATCTTGCAAAAAGCTCTCAAAGTAGATGGTTAGAAGCACAAATGAAGTAAAAACATTTAAAATCAAGCAACATACTTTTTTCACTTTTTTTTGTGTTTTTCAAAAATAAGATGAAAGAGAAAAAGGAAAAAACTAATCCTATATTTACAACAAATACTAAACATCAACACAGAAAAAAAGTAAGAAAAGTAAGTTTGTTACTAAAACAAAGAGAAAGAAAACCAAATTAACAACTACTAAGAGAAAAAAAAGTATAACAACAACAATAAGTTAAAGTTAGAAATAAGCATAAAGAACTTTAAGACTAAAGTTAAAAAAAATGCTATTAAACTAAGTGGGTCATGTTTAAAAAAAATAGGAAAAAGGGAAAAAAAAAGTTAACAACAACTATAAGAGAAAAAAAACAACAATAACTAGAAGTTAGAAGTAAAAAGATTTTTTTTTAAAGAAAAATGACAAAAAACTTAAAAAGAAAGTGGGTTGCCTCCCATTAGCCGCCCGATTTAAAGTCTTTGGCTAGACACAGTTTACTACTTGCAAACATACATGCAAATAAACCATGAAGTAGTAAAGAGAAGTAAAAGTGTTTCTTTAAAACACTCAGAGAAAGTAAAAACAACGGAAGCCGAAATTCAGAACCCAAGTGCAGATTGTAAGCTTCAAATCAGTATTTAGAAACAGTTTTCTGCATTTTTGCACTTTGACATCAAAACTCAGCATATAAGGGTCAAATTTAGATTGCAAAGACAAGCTAAATACCCTTCAAGTCAGTTCCTATGCATGTATTTAACAATTAAAGTGCATAATTCAGCAAGTAGGCATCTTAGGAACTCAAATTCAGCATGAAAAGCAAGAAAAGATGTTGCAGATTTTTTTAAAAAAAACCATGCAGATCAGATTTTATCAAAAATTCAGCTCCTAAAACATCAAAATCAGCATAGAAACATCATGGCATGCTTCAAAATTTTGTCCCCAAGAAAGATATATCAATAA